GAGATATGAAAAGGTTTACGAGAACTTGCTACCCCAGTAAGCAAAAGCTGCACTTCTAAACATATTATATATTAGGTGTTAAGTCCCTGTAACACAGTGGGACTTACTTCTCAGTAAACGCACCTAGGATCGCTCTGAAAACCTGCCATTTGCTGCTAAAAATGACAGTCTGTTTGCTGTTTTCTTCCCATATCACAAACATACCAGAACCAAACTAGAATTATTATTATTATTATTATTATTATTATTATTATTAAAATATATATGCCACCCTATACCCACAGGTCTCAGGGAGGTTCACAGGATAAAATCACAATATTTAGTTCGGTCATAACATAAATGTGTGTACAAACTGCAGTCCCTCTCCTGCCCTTGCATTCTCCCATTTTCTTTCCTGGCTTACTTTTTCCATGGCAAAACTGCTTGCACAATCCATAGTTTGAAATCCTGATTTCATTGTGGGATGGCATAAGGCCAGGAAACCTTTCAACAGTGGAGTGGGGGCAAACATTCCCTTGAGGGTAATATTCCAGAGAGGTTGCAGGGGCAAATGTAGGGGTGGACAAAGGCAAAACTGAGGGGAGCAATGGATGCGAATTTTACCTTTGACTACATTTCAGCTTCGCAAAACCCAGAGGCTCTTACACATTCCCTCCTCTCTCCTTCCAGCCAAGCAGGAGGTACTGTCACAATTCAGCTAGGCAAATTCCAGCAAGGCAAAAGCACTTGAGGAGGGTGTGGGACAAGGGACATATATATAACTTAGCAGCCCCGCTGTTTAAAAATCGGCAGGCACTGATTGAAAATTGGCAGGTTAACCATGTGACTGTCTAGCTGATTAACCAGCTGAAGCTCACAGCCCTAGAGGGAACATAATGTCAGTCAGGGTGCCAGTACTGGAAAGTCCGCGCGCCCCCCCAAAAAGTCGGGTACATTTTTGCAGCCCTTTAATAATGCGTTAGATAGTTCTTTTCTAATGTGAGAGGTGGGCATAGGAGGCAGCAAACCTCATGTGTGGAATGATGCAGAAGTTGCTCAGTTTTTATTTAATGTTAACGTTCTGAACATGTAAAGCTATCAATGATTTCATTTGGAATGCACATGCGTTTATTATTACAGTATTTTATTTTACCTGTGTGTGTGCATGTTCATGTGTGTGCGATATTCACCGCTGTCTGCCATTTACGCTCAACTTCTCCGATTCCTCCCTTCTTGGTTCTTTTAGCTGTTCGAAGGCATGAAGGCGTACCGAGGGGTGGATGGCAAAATCCGCTTGTTCCGTCCGGGACTCAACATGGACAGGATGCTGCGGTCAGCTCTGCGGGCGACTTTGCCAGTGCGTAATACAAGCGTTTACTTTTCTTCCCCTTGCTCTTTGCCCCACTGTGACTTTGGACAGTGTTTTCATCCCAACTGGTAAAACCTTTCCAAGATCGAAAGCAGTGTTTCTGCCAAGGAGATTCCTCAGAGATGGAATCAGTGAGAGAGGACGCAAAATCTTGGGTTACACGGAGCTGTTTATCTGTATTCATAAAATGTCAAACAAGCTCCTACGCAACCATTATAAGGTCATATAATTGTAGAGGTAGAAGGGATTATGAGAATCATCTTTTCCAGGGGTGCCCAAAACAATAATAATAATTTATTATTTCTACCCTGCCCATCTGGCTGGGCTTCCCCAGCCACTCTGGGCAGCTTCCGACAGAACACCCAAATACAATAACCTTTTAAACATTAAAAGCTTCCCTAAACAGGGCTGCCTTCAGATGTCTTCTAAAAGTCTGGTAGTTGTTTTTCTCTTTGACATCTGGTGGGAGGGCGTTCCACAGGGCAGGTGCCGCTACCGAGAAGGCCCTCTGCCTAGTTCCCTGTAACTTGGCTTCTCGCAGTGAGGGAAGGCCCTCGGAGTTGGACCTCAGTGTCTGGGCAGAACGATGGGGGTGGAGACACTCCTTCAGGTATACTGGACCGAGGCCATTTAGGGCTTTAAAGGTCAGCACCAACACTTCATGCTCGGAAACGTACTGGGAGCCAGTGTAGGTCTTCAAGACCGGTGTTATATGGTCTCGCGGCTGCTCCCAGTCACCAGTCTAGCTGCTGCATTCTGGATAAGTTGTAGTTTCCGGGTCACCTTCAAAGGTAGCCCCACATAGAGTGCATTGCAGTAGTCAAAGCGGGAGATAACCAGAGCATGCACCACTCTGGCGAGGCAGTCCGTGGGCAGGTAGGGTCTCAGCCTGCATACCAGATGGAGCTGATAAACAGCTGCCCTGGACACAGAATTGACCTGCACCTCCATGGACAGCTGTGAGTCCAGAATGACTCCCAGGCTGCACAGCTGGTCCTTCAGGGGCACAGTTACCCCATTCAGGACCAGGGAGTCTTCCCCACCTGCCCTCCTCCTGTTCCCCAAAAACAGTACTTCTGTCTTGTCAGGATTCAACCTCAATCTGTTAGCCGCCATCCATCCTCCAACCACCTCAGATGAAGTGAACATGTGTGAAGGCCGACCCAAGATGTCGAGCTTTTGGGGGGATTTGACCCCAAGAAATAAACTGCCACAGGGGCCTGATTAAACCAGCTGGGGCCCCCCAAATGGACTTTGGACATGCCTGAACTAGTCCAACCCCATTTGATTCAGGAATCTTTTGCCCAGTGCGTAGCTCAAACCCACAAACCTGAGATTAAGAGTCTGAGGCTCCAGAATGGCAACACTTCAGGACCACTGGTCCTGTTAGCTAGGGATGGTGGGAGTTGTAGTCCCAAAACAGCTGGAGGGCTGAGTTTGGGGATGCCTGCTTTAATACATCTCTTGGTTGTGAAGGGAGGAATCTGTAATAAAGGAGAAATGTGAGACTCAAAAAACCTTCCCTGTACCCTCCCCCCCAAAAAAACCCCTGCAGGCATTTAAAATGTCCAGCTCAAACTCGTGCTTTAGAGATGTGTTGCACAATTGCTATGAAATCAATTAAACTGTTTTGTTTGTTGGGTGTTTAGAATCATATGACCTCTCCTGACGTCTCATTCACTAGCGGTAGTTGGAACGTCACGGCCTCTGGCTTAATAGGCTAATTAAACGTCGCGGGTGAAGTGTGCTCCCAACCACGTTAAGGTTATTCTAAATGTTGCCTTCTTCTGCTTTTGCTTTCAGGGATTTGACAAAGAAGAGCTTTTGGAGTGCATCCGGAAACTCGTGGAAGTCGAAAAGGAGTGGGTGCCGTACTCGACCACCGCTAGCTTGTACATTCGCCCTACTTTAATTGGGACAGAGGTGTGTGGAAAAACTAACCTTGTTCTTTGTTTTTATTCATTTTTGCACCGGGCAGGATGCTAACTGAGGCCTGGTCTGAACATGGCAGCAGAATCCAGAGGCGGCAGAATGAGTTGTATCGCATTAAAACTGCAGGATTGGGGAGCAGTTTTCAGAATTTCCCCTCCTGTGAAAATAACTCTGTGCATTTTTTTTTTTAAAGGGGGGGGGAAGAGCACATCAAAAAGAAATGTTCAGTCCAGCCTATTTCTTGCTGTGTCATTAAAAAAAGGAAAACCCTGCAAAGGTTCATCTATTCCTATCGCCACCTGCATTCTGAGACAGTCTATTCTGTCACCTCCTGAATTCTGCCTCCTCGTCGCTATTGCATTTGTAGCCCAGTCCTCACTTGATGCACTTAGAAGCGGGCGTTGTGTGTTCGAATGGAAGTTAACAGCTCCGAGCTCACATGCAGAGATCCTTTGTATGGCCTAAAGAGCACTCAACATGCGCTGGTGTTTTCTGTTGTCCTGGGAAGGCGTAATGTCTGTGCATTGTTTGAGCATAGAGGATTTCTAAGGTTCTGCTTTTAACCTTGCAACTTGCAGTTGCCGGCAGAGAAATCCTAATGTGCTCTATGTGAATGAATAAATCCTACTTAACACAAAAGCGCCTTCATGGATCTCTCCATGTAAAGAAAGAGGTGGTAATAATAGTAATAATAATAATAATAATAATAATAATAATAATAATAATAATAATTTTATTTATACCCCATCCATTTGGCTTGGTTTCCCTAGCCACTCTGGGTGGCTCCCAACAGAACACTAAAAACAGAATAAAATGTACATGCTCTTTCCTGTAGCTGAAATAGCACTATTGTAGGAAAATCTTTGTGGAGAAGAGACCAAGTGTGATGTTCTCTTTTGTAAAGTTGCAGCCTTTGTATTTAGAGATAACCATAGTGCCACCTAGTGGAAGTGTTTTCTCATTTCATTGCACAGCTTGAACTTGTCCATTCTTTTTCATTTGAACATTCATATTCTCCAGAAGGAGCCCCAGGTTCCCTTCTGTTTGGTTGTGCATGCTCAGGTGTGGCATTGCAGAATATGTGTCCCCTTGTGTTGCATAGGAAGTGCTCTATTATTATTAATATTTATTTATCTTTATTATTGCATTTGTACATTGCCCTGCACCCGCAGATCTTGGGGCGGTTCGCGACATAAAATTTCACTATAAAAAACGCAAAATGCTTAATTAAAATAAGAACAAAAGCAAACCAATATATCCCCTCCTTCCACAATCAATATGATTTCAAATCGGTATGGAAGGTGAGCCGATTTTAAATCAACATGGAACATGTAGCAGTAGTATGTAAACCAGAGGCAATTATAAACTGGTTCTCCCCCTCCCCAAGCCTGACCTGCTCCTTCCTCCTTTAATAGTGGCTTCCTCTTCAGTGGCAAAGAGCTAAGTTTCGATTGTCATTTGCTCATTGCTGCAGATCAAACTGCTATTGGAAGGATGGCTTTGGAAGTCGGCTGCAAGGAACCTTCGCCATCCAGAACCTTAAGCTAAGGGAGCCATGCCTGCTATCCAGGACCCCTGAGATCAATCAATCTGGGGTTGTTTGGGTCTCATCCTACTTCATTTTTGGCCCTTTTCATTCCTATCAGGCTCTCTAGAATCACAGAGTTGGAAGGGACCACAAGTGCCATCTAGTCCAACCCCCTGCAATGCAGGAATATTTTGCCCAACGTGGGGCTCGAACCCACTACCCTGAAATTGAGAGTCTCATGCTCTACCAACGGGGCTAACTCAGAACCTCTTCTTTTTTAAAAAAAACCCCCGCCATGAACTAGAAGTGAACCCACTGTTCAACCGAATGGGCACCGAAGAACCAAATTTTACATGGGGGTGTGTGTCATTTTTTAAAGGGAGTTTGATACATTCATGAAAGTAAAGGGTATCAGTGGCTGCTATAGTCGTGATGGTTGTAGAGGATTACCTCCAGTATAGGGCAGTTTGCCTCTGAAAAACGGCTGCAGGGAATCCCATGCAAGAGAATGCTGTTGCTGTTTGCTGGCGGGTTTCCCATAATCCTCTGTTTCACTGCTGAGAAGAGACAGGGCTTCTGGTCTGATCCAGTAGGTCCCTCCTTATGCTCTTAACGTCACCTCTCTTTCCACTATTCAGCCATCCCTTGGAGTTAAGAAGCCGTCGAAAGCCCTCCTCTACGTCATACTGAGTCCTGTGGGCCCGTACTTTTCGAGCGGCAGCTTCAACCCCATAGCCTTATGGGCAGATCCAAAATACGTCCGAGCCTGGAAAGGAGGAACCGGGGACTGCAAGCTGGGAGGGTAAGATCATCCTGATGAAGTAACACCCATGTGACGCTAATGCTCAGCGTTCCTGACTTCTTCCTTGTAGGCATGAGAGCATTGGATTCTCATTTTCAAAATGGCGGGTGGGTCATTTGGGTTCATGCCATTGGCCCACCTAGCCCTTCATTGTCCATTCCGGCTGGTTGCAGCTCTCTGTGTTTCTTGGGCAGAGATATTTCCCAGCTCTGGTCACCAGAGAGTTGGAGGAGATGTCAGCGTTGGGACTAGGACATCGCTAGCCTCAGTTCATGACATGCGGACTATGCTGGAAATCACGTGCTGAGCATGCTGCTTATCTGAGACTGCATCAAAAATATGTCCCAGAATCTTCTGGGACACAGTATACTGCCATTGGCCAAAACCAGTTTTGGAGCTCCAAGCTGCATGCATTTTCAAAGGGATAGATTATTGTTCCATCCATCTAGCTCTGAAGTTTCTGCCCTGATGGGCGGTGGCTGTCCTAGGGCTTGGGCAGAGCTCCTTCACACCACCTGCTATCTGATCTCCTGGAGATGAGCAAACACCTTTTGCATGCAAAACATGGGTTATACCGGTGAACCATGGCTGCTTCTTCCATAGTCATTGTGCCTTGCAGGCATCCCTAACTGCTCTGAAAACATTGCAGTTGGCAGCAGTGCACAGCCCCAGGTGCAGGCTTATCCCTACTTATGGGGCAAGCCACCCCATGGCTTATGTATTAATCCTCCACAACCCCCCAGATCAAAAATCCTGCTAGTATCCCCTATATTGGCCATTTCTTTTGGCAGATAAAAGATTTCCTAACTGTAACACAAGGACCACAACATCGTCTTTCATTCTAAGAATTACTGGGAAGTGAAGTGCTTTGCATACACTAAATCAGGGGTCGGCAAAGCTTACGGAGCCTGGGCCGGTCCACTCCCCCGGAGATCTCTCCGCAGGCTGGATCACATGCGAGCACACATGCGCACATTTGCAAACGCTATTTCCGGCGTGGAGGAGGTGCCTGCATGTGTGCACACATGCGCAGATGCTGTTTCTGGCATGGAGGAGGCGTCTGCAGCTTCCTATTGGCTGCAGGAGCTTCCTGCAGCCGATAGAAAGCCCCGCCAGTGCTGTGGAAGTGAATCCACGAGCCGCGCTGCGCCGGTTTAGCGCAGCGTGTGGGGACTTGCCGAGCGGGCCTTAGTTTGCCGACCTCTGCACTAAATGAAAACATAAGTGCATTTTTATTATTAATTTCACAATGAGCTCATTAGTGTGGTTCACCCAACACCTGGTCTAGCCAGCCTGAACCTACGAGTCAAAGTGGGGGTGGGGGTTCAGGACAGGGTCTCCAAATCTGAGTCACGTCGCAACGGGACTGGTCTGTTCAGGATCTGTTTGTGTGCTGTGCCATAATTGGGAACTCTGTCCTTGTCGGGTAGGACCTAGGCTCAAAATGGGCCGCCTATTTTCTCGGTTCACATTAATCACAAGCTGATCTTGCAGCTGGCAGGCGTCCTTTGTGCGGCCCGTCCCAGGGTACGGGGACTCTGAGAAGCAGCCGTGTAATGGCTTGGCGGCATTGTTCCCCGGAAGCTGGCGACATCCCTGGAACGACACACTTTGCTTTCATCGGAATCAGCAAGCTTCTGCCAAGTTGAGGGGACAAGCCTGGCTGCAAATTCTCTCTCTCTCTTCCTTGGCTCAGGGCAAAGGCATCTGTGGCCGTCTAGCAAAATGCAGGCATTTCGGGAATGCATTTTATAGCTTCAGAGGCATGGCTGGCAGTATGCCTGACAAGCAGCCTGTTGCTCCAGCCAGAAGAACTGAGCTATAGGGTGGCCCAGCTGTTGATTTAGCCAGCACAGCTTGCTTGTTAGAGCACACAGGAAGTTTTTGTCCTGGCAAAGGTGGCTTGGCCATTCCTGAAATTCGCAATGGTGAATCTGATATGAGGAAGCGATTCCTGCAGGTCCTAGATTCCATTTTCTTAAGTTTAGGTGGGAGAAGAGAGGCCATAGCTTGGTCGCAGAGCATATCATTGCATGCAAGAGGTCCCAGGTTCTTCTACACTCCAGTTACAAGGTTGTCAATATCCGGGCTGAGTATTGGAAGACGGATTTAATCTTAAACTACTCTGGGAACAAGGACCTCAACCTAGTGATTGTTTCAGCACTGGCAAAGACATGTTTATTTTGTTGGGATTTGGGGCGGCAGCAATGATAGTACAGTAAGCACATTTAACTTGTGCGCATTCAGCTTTATGAGCATGGCAGAAAAATATGTTTAAAATTTAAAAGGGGATGGAGTCCTGGGAAAAATGACTTGAGCAGTCACACCTGCCATTGAACCCAGTGGCTTTTGAATATACATGGTTTTGGCTGCAATTCCCAAACCATAACCCCCTCGTGAATTGTGGGATTACCGTATATTATATTGTCAAACCAGTTTTTGTAATTTTGTGTTTCTTTGCTTGCTTGCAAATCACTTCAGAACTTTTTAGTGGGAAGCGATATGCAACTTTAACGAACCTAATCTTAACTACTGTGGCGTGAAGGCCTCCCCTGTTGTCTTATAATGGCAATGGTGCCCACCTCAGAGGTGCCGGAACTGAGTTCTAGTGAATTCTGGCTGAAAAAAGGCCCTGACCCTATCCTGCCCGTTTCCCTCTTGTTTCCAAAAGGAACTACGGCTCCTCTATCTATGCCCAGCGGGAAGCCATGGAATTAGGCTGCCAGCAGGTTCTCTGGCTGTACGGAGACGACCACCAGATTACGGAAGTCGGGACCATGAATCTCTTCCTGTACTGGCGAAATGAAGATGGAGGTACAGTGGCCAGCCATGTTTAACCAACACCATATGTTTTCCCTCAGCCCTGACAGGCATCGTTGTGGCAAATAAAATGGCCGCCTGGTCCTTGAGCCTCAAGTGCTGTGACTTCTGCCTGTTTGGGCCATGAAGTTTCCTCTGAAGCAGAGCAGTTTCAGGAATGTTTTAGGAGAGCAGCAGTACAGTGGTACCTCGGGTTAAGTACTTAATTTGTTCTGGAGGTCCGTACTTAACCTGAAACTGTTCTTAAACTGAAGCGCCACTTTAGCTAATGGGGCCTCCTGCTGCTGCCGCGCCGCCGGAGCACAATTTCTGTTCTCATCCTGAAGCAAAGTTCTTAACCTGAGGTACTATTTCTGGATTAGCGGAGTCTGTAACCTGAAGCGTATGTGTCAGGGGTTCAGGAGCAGAGGCAAGGGCAAGGGAGGAAACAGAGAGCGAGGGGGAGGAGGCAGAAGAAAAGATGAGTGATGACGACGACCCGAGATCTCCGAGTCTTTCCAGTGAATCAGAAGATTCACAGAAAGGAGCACCAGTGGCCAGGGCAAGGGGAGCCTAGGGGACGCCCCAGGAAGATAGAGCCAGAGGGGACTCAGAGGGGAGCAGTTGGAAATCGGGACCAGCGTCACCGCCAGAGAGCAGGGAAGAGGAAGGGAGCCGGGGATCAAGCGCTGGCAGC